CCCCCACAGCTGAAGGCGGTACACGAGCAGCTGGCAGCTCTGTCGCAGCCCCAGACTAGTAAACCGAAGAAGAAGGAGAAAGACAAGAAGGAGCGCAAGAAGGAGAAGCACAAGAAGAAGGCTGGCGGGCCTCCCTCACTGCCCGAGGAGCTGCAGGAGCCGCCCATACAAGGCCCCAAGAAAAGCAAGAGCAGCAAGGAGCTACTGCCCAAGAAGAGCAAAAAGCCCAGGTAGGGAATGACCAGCCTGGCCTGGGGGCCTCACCACAAGCAGGGGGGCCACAAGCGATGCTAATGATCACAGTACTAACACTGGCTTTAGGGTCAGGGGTCACCGGGGTGCCTGCTGTCTAACCAGTGTCTCCATCCTGTACCCCACAGTAAAAAAGAGGCGTCGAAGAACGGCCGGTCCGCCCCCCCGAGCGGCCAACTCCCTCCCCCGTTGGGCCCAGCTGCTAGCGGAGACCCAGAGGAGGATGTGGGGAGTGCGGCGGGCGGGCCGGAGCACTGCAAGCCCATGTCCTACGAGGAAAAACGACAGCTGAGCCTGGACATCAACAAGCTACCGGGTGACAAGCTGGGCCGCGTGGTGCACATCATCCAGTCCCGCGAGCCCTCACTCAAGAACTCGAACCCCGACGAGATCGAGATCGACTTCGAGACACTCAAGCCCTCCACACTGCGCGAGCTCGAGAGATACGTCTCGTCGTGCCTGCGCAAGAAGAAGAAACTGCCTGGTGGGTGCAGGCTGCAGTGCACGCGCGCGCCTACAGGGGGCAGTGTGACCTGTGTCTCTGTGCGGGACTGATGCACCTCTGTCCTCCGCAGTTGCCGAGAAGACAATGGAAGCGATGAGCTCAATGAAGACGAAGACCGGCTCTTCGTCTGACTCGGGAAGCAGTGAATCTAGCTCCTCTGACAGCGAGGCATCCGACACTGGTGAGAGTTTCACCACCGTTCACATTTACGCACTTTTACACAAGCGTCTGTGAAGGTGTGAGAGCTGGGAGACAGCGTGGCTGGATTCTTCTCGCTTTCTTCTCCCAGGCGTCATCTCCAAGCAGAAGAAGAAGAGCCACTCTGGGAAGGAGGGCAAGAAGCCGCATCCCCAGGCGATGGGTGCCAGCGCCCCACCACCCATGACCCCGGTGGTTCAGCCCGCGCCGCCACTGAAGCAGCACCCCTCGCCGCCGGCCTACGTAGCGCCTTCTGCGCCGGCTCTGGACCCCTCACAGCTACTGGGCGGCACCTTCGACTCACTGCCGCACTTCGGCCAACAGCTGCGGCACCTGCCATCACCGCCCCCACACCTCAATGCCCACGCGCCCGCTGGGCCTGCCTCACCCCTGACCACCGAGCCGCACCCCTTCCTCAACCAGCACATACTCACCACCCCAGGTGCGTCCCGCCGATCCGAACAAGCCATGCCCTTCAAGCCGGAATCGGGCTCTCGAGGGCCGTCTGGCCAGATCCCAGCACTGGGGCTCTGATCCAGGCCGAGGTCGCTCTGTCCTTCGCCACTGTCTGTGGGGCATCTTTGAGTTTTAGTAGCGATTCTACCTTTTCATTCCTCTCCATCCCCCCTCATGTCTCCCCAGCCCTGCACAATGCCATGCCTCAGCAGCCGTCGCGCCCCAGCAACCGGGCCGCCCCTCTACCTCCGAAACCTGCACAGCCCTCTACTCCCCAGCAGCCACAGCAACAACAACAGCAGCAGCAGCCACCGCCACCGCAGCCTCTGCAGCAGGCGCAGCCGCAGCCCCCGAAACCAGCCCTGCCCCAGCAAATGCTGACCCACCTGCAGCCACTGCACCAACCGCTGCGCCCACGGCCCCTGTCTCCACCCACCCTAACCCCCCAGGGCCTGCTCTCAGCCCAGCCTCCGCAGATGATCCTGGAGGACGACGAGGAGCCCGTGCCGCTCAACCCGGTGCAGCTCTACCTGCAGCACCTGCAGCAGGCCCCGCTGTTGCAGTCTGTGCAAGTCCAGTCGCAACCTCCTGCGCAGCCACCCCCACCGGTTCAACCGCAGCAGCAGCCGCCACCCCCCCAGCAGCAGCCGCCACCTCCGCCGCAAGTCCAGCAGGCCCCCCCACCACAGCCACAGCAGCACCAGCACCCGCACCCACATGCCCCACCGCAGCATTCGCAGCCGCCCAGGCACATGCAGCTCCTGCAGCAGCCGCTGGCCTATGTTCCAGGTCCCAGCCAGCTGGCGCAGGTGCAGCAGCAGCACAAAGTGCCCGCAGCCCCTGCCAAAGGGCCGCAGATTCTCCAGCAGCAACAGCAGCATCCATCGCCGCATCAGCACACGCCTGACCCCTACAATGCAGGTGAGGCACGACACCCATGTCCTCTGCAGGTTTTGGTCCACAGCAGGAGACCGACACAACGAATTAGCTCATTAACCCCCTGCTGCGTTTATGCTCTGTCAAATCGCGTCATGCAGGTGCTGATCTGTAACACCTTGCCCTCTTCCGTGTTGTAACAGGACACCTGAGGGAGAGCCCCTCCCCACTGATGATGCATTCCTCCCAGATGCCCCAGTATCCCCCCATCACCCACCCATCTTCCCCGCACAGCATGCAACCCAAGAAGCCTGTAAGTACATCTGTGTGCGACCCCGTGGATCGGCCAGGCTATGTGTGTGACCATAGTGACCGGCCCGTCCCACTCATATTCATGTGACAGGAGCAGCGGGTGCCCTCAGCACTGGCAGGGGTGAAAGAGGAGAAGCTACCCCCCTCGCCAGCATCCCAGGGGGAGCCGTTCAGCCCAGTGCTCCGCCAGGAAGCCAACAAGCACCCAGACAGCAAGCCGCCGCAGCCAGGACACGGGCAGCAACGTAAGCGGGGGGGGGCACATAAGGGTGTGGCAGTGCAGTGTTTGCATGTGGCTGCCCTTCTGCATGTGGCTGACAGGGTTTATCCCTTAGGATCGGACCCCAAGCTCCTGGAGAGCTCGCGTCCAGTGATTCGCTCCCTCGACACCGGAGGCCCGGCCCAGAATGTTCCGGACAAGGACAAGTTCAAACAGGAGCCTAAGACTCCAGTGGCTCCCAAAAAGGTAGGATGGGTCCACTGTTCTGCGTGGGGATCACGGTGGCTTAGGACCGCAGGGTTTAATCCCAGTCCCTCCCATCTCCGAAGGACATGAAGCTGAAGAACATGGGCCACTGGGCCAGCCTGGCGCAGAAGCCTGCACTGGCACCCTCATCCACGCTCAAGTCATCAAGCGACAGCTTTGAACAGTTCCGGCGCGCCGCCCGTGAGAAGGAGGAGCGAGAGAGGGCACTGAAGGCCCAGGCGGAGCAGGCTGAGAAGGAGCGGCTGAGGCGGGAGCAGGAGAGGCAGCGGTGAGGCGGGTGGGGCTTTTCGGGGTATGAAGGCAAGTGTCCCTGTTCTCTTGCTAACATGGTGTACAATCAACTGTCTCGGTCGGTGTTCCGCAGCCGCGACGAGGAGGAGGCAATGGAACAGACCCGCCGGCCCCATGAGGAAGTACGCAGGAGGGCAGAGCAGGTGCAGCAGCAGCAGCAGCCGCCACAGCAGCCCCCGCCTCCTCACACGCAGGCGGCCCAGCAGGTCCAGCAGCCCCCGCCCGTGCAGCCGCCCCAAACGCAGACGCCCTCTGCTTCGCAGCCCCCGCCCACGGCCGCTGCCCCGCAGCCCCCCTCTTCGCAGAGCGCGCTTGACCAACAGAGGGACCTGGCGCGTCGCAGGGAGCAGGAGAGGAGGAGACGAGAGGCGGTGAGCAAAGACTATATGGATTTAACCTTCACCCTAGCTGAAAGCTGATTGGCCCCCACAGTAATGATGAACCTTAATGTATGATTTATACTCCCCACACTATTATAAAATCCTTGAACTGGCCCCAATTAAACATTAAGAAAGCAACTTACACTGCACATTTTCAAGCCCCTGTGTTCACAGGATGCCGGCTATTTAAGAGGTTAATTAATGCCAATAAGTTTGCTCAAGTTTGCTTACCCAAACCAGCCACCCCTATACATCCACAGCAGGGGTCTGAATTCCTGTACTGGGCACCGCAGTCTTGGTACCTTGGAAGTTGGGAGAACCCAGCTAGCCACCTAAACCAATGCGTTCAGCCTGTCAGTCGCTTGTCACCTGACGCCCTCCGTCTCTATTTACAGATGGCAGCCACCATCGACATGAATTTCCAAAGCGACTTGATGGCCATCTTTGAGGAGAACCTGTTTTAAACACAGGAATGCAACTTGGGGAAATACAAAGAGAAACTCACCTGGGGAGAACCATGGACACAGACTCTGGATGAGACAGGGGGACGTCAGCCTGGGGGTGGGGAGGG